TTTTCAAGATGACTTGGATAATATCGCGTTGTGACAAACACCAGACTTGATCAACAGCCGATACCGCACCGTGACGTCACTAACCAGTAGGTGGCAGTAGTGTTCTTTGACAAACATGGATGCCTCCAGTAAAGCACATTCACATGAAAATTACTCTGAATTAAAAACACTCATCATTTATAGAACAGGATGGAATCATTTCAGATTTAAAGAACTTTCAGAACTTTTCCTTTAAAGCTCTAGCTCTATCCTAACCATGGAAATAATCATTAACCCATCATTACCAGAGCATAACGAACCTGAACCTACTTCACACCGTAGTCGTAAACCTAACTGTTATTAAAATTAGGCGGCGAGGAGCAGCAAGCGGTCCTCGCTTCTATGGTAAAACTGGGATCACACACAGAGCCATGCCTGGAGGTGGAAACGCTTCCTGAGAAGCTCCGCCATTTATTACTGAGGCAGCTGCAGCAGAGACAGGAACACGGCGCTACATTAAATAATTACTGGAAACTAACAAACAGAAACACGGGAGGAAGACCCTGGCAACCAGACCCCCCCTCCCCCCACACACACAGAGAGAGGGTCAAACCGAGAGGAAATCATCAGGGCGCTCTGACAGCTCCTTTAGCTCCACACTAACAGTGGAGACGCTGGCAGGGACAGATGATGAGACTAAGATCTTCCAGCCTGCAGAGACCAGCCGCTCGCTGCGGCGTCTCGCCTTCTTAGGCAGCAATAAGTCGTACGGCAGCCCAGCGAGACACGACTTTCAGGATTTATTCTGTCTGAGACTCAAACCAGCGGAAGAATAAAAGCAGCTCCACACCTGATCCTCTCAGGGTCAGAGGCAGCAGCCGACATCTTCCTGCGCCTGAAAAACAACCTTTCATACGACGACGCATATTACACCTTTTAAAACAGGTCGAGGCTCCTCCCCCTCTGAGCATTCGCCCTAGACCTTGGTAGGAGTAAACCCCCTGATTGGTCCACCTCACCCAGCTGATTCACACCATGGTGTCAGGGGTCCCAAATCCCAGGGGCCACCTGGTCCAAACAGCATCACCTCGGTTTATGTTTCCTTAAAATTCCAAACATTCGTGGCTCGCCAAGCTTAATGACCTCCAAACAGGAAGCCGTCCCTCTGCTTCAGCATCATGTTGATCTAAATATGCTGAAAAACAGCATAATGCCTTCAATCCAGTCATTTGGGGAGCTTTCAGGTTAACCAGCAGCTCCACTGAAATGAACTGGACAGATTGGAGTGGGAACCTAGAGATCAATCAACTAGATGGGATCTTAACCAGTTAAGAGCAGCAGGCTGAATTCTCAATAGATTTTATAGGCTAGGCTTAAAACTTTCCTTTTT